CTATGTGACTACTCCAATAAAAATTGCAAGTATCAGTTGGTTGCGATAGTATCAATATAGGGGGACTTTTGTTCCTGTCAACAACAGTCAGTTCTTTAGAAATTCAAAGAGCAATAAACCAACAGACGAAACTGCCACAAAATGAATCAGAGGGAAAAAAAGAAATCAAAAGAAAAATCCCATCCTGCTTTTATTATGGGAAAAGTATGAGACTAAACTATTATCTTTTAACTATCCAATAAGAAGCTCTTATAAATCTAACATATGTACTCTGCTTTTATAAATCTAACCTATATGCTCAGCAAATGGCTATAGTTGAGGATTATGCTTTTTTCAAAAATGGAATTTTTCTTGGATGCTTTTTATAACCCAAATGAATTGACCTTTTAGAACTGTACCTTTTCTCTGATTTAGAATAATTGGCAATGAAAGTGTCTTCTTCCAGAGATTCAGCTTTGTTTTGATTTAAATTTTTGGGTACGTTCGTTCCCCTTGTTTTTAATCTCATCTATCAGTTTGAGCCTGCTTCCATTGACCATTTACAAAAGCTTCTATATCTTGGCATGTTTGACATTAGAACCTTTTCAAAGAAGAGAAAGGCCATTCGATGTTATATTTGTCTTTGACCCTTTTCCAGCCAAATGGGTTGTTTTATGTCCTTTGTATTGTAGGATCTAGATGCATATTTAACTATAGACAGGACTAAATATAATCAATAAAATCATACAAAGCTACTGGATGATATTTTACAAGTAAATATCACTATGAATTTGTAAAGAAAGAAAATGAAGCCGGGCTCGGTGTCTCAGCCTGTAATCCCGTGCCTTGGGAGGTTGAGGTGAGTGGATTGCCTGAGCCCGTGGGTTCGAGATCCGCCCGGGCAACTTGGCGAGACCTCATCTCTACAATAAATCAAAACTTAGCCGGGCGTGGTAGCGCGCGCCTGTAGTTCCAGCTACTCGGAAGGCTGAGGCGGAAGGATCGCCGGAGCCCGGCAGGTCGAGCCTGCGGTGGCCGGGAGCGGCCACTGCACGCCAGTCTGGGCGACAGAGTGAGAC